AGGAGGAGAGAGAGAGAGAGAGAGAGAGGTTCCTGAAGGAAGAGGAGGTGGGGTCCGACCGCAGGCGTGAAAGAGGGATAGATACCGAGACACCGATAAGTCTCTGCTCTGGCCTCTGAAGCAAGCGAGCGGGCAAGCTTATCGGAGCCCGATAAGCCGATAAGCTGATAAGCCGTTCGTGACCTCAATATCACGAGGGATAGCAAACACATACAACTATTATATCCATATGAATCGATTAAATCAATCTAGGCGGATAGAAAAATAACAAAAGCGTCTTCTTAAGAGAAAATAAAATACTTAGTTACTTAGATAAAGAATTTATTCCCTACTAACCTCCCGTGACCAAGCCTCGCGTGACCGAGCCTCCCGTGACTCAGCTGGCTGGTCGCTTAAATAGACTCACTCTGACTGCATCTCAACCCCGACCTCAACCTCAGTCTCCCTCCTGCCCAAATGCATCCTATCGTACTGCAGCTTATGCCCTACCTACCTATTTACCCCATCCATTTACTTAAATCCAGTCCTGATATAACCCACGGATAGAAGACAAGACAAGACCATGGCAACACACACTCTTGATGGGGCCCGTAGCCTGTGCCTGGGCTGGGTTCGGATCGGGTTTGGACACGGGCGGTATCTGAGTGGGTTGGGAGTCTGTAGGTAGGTGAGTTTCTTTCTTGGATCTAGCCTCTAGCAGATCAGCCTTGTTTCCCCGGTTGCTTAGGGCTGGGGTTGGGAGAGAGGTGGGAAGGCAGTGGGAGAGAGTCGAGAGAAGTGGGAAGAGGATGGGAGTTGACAGTAAGTGGCGCGGGAGGCTATGATGGTCAGGGTGGTAGGAGAATGACACTGTAAGTAAGAGGTATACAGATCTGGCTCTTCTCGCTTCGTCACGGTCCAACTAACTCATTGATGGCAGAGGTACGTCAAACAGAGGGTTGAATCGGCAGCGTACATAGGGGTAGGTAGGCACCTTCATCATACACGAGATATCTCTGCGATCCCACTCGAAATTGGCGGCATCACATCACATCGCTCTCAAAAGTCATTTCGTCAGGCTTCATGTCATTACTTCTCTGTCGCTCTATCTACCTAGCGAGAACCGAGATTCCACCAAGTCAAGAAAGAAAGAAAGTAAGAGAGACCTCAAGAGTCGAGCCCCTTCTGCATCTGAACAAGGTGGTCAGCCTTGTCAGCCTCGTACTCGAGAGCATCGAGCAGCTCATCCCAGAACGAGTTTCCCTGCGCACGCAGGGCATCCTCATCGAACTGCCATCCTCCAGGAGGAGGCTCGTCCCCATCACCAGGGTAGTGAGCATGGCCTTGCCCCGGAGCGATCTTGGCCTTTGGCCCATCAAAACCGCGGAAAGGACCGCCCAGCTGCACACCACCCCCGCTGCCCATGCCGCCGCCGATTCCCATGCCACCGAACTGTTGAGCCAGTGCAGCTGCAACGTCGCCGAACTGCTGGTTGATCTGATCGGTCGTGCTTGGGAAACCAGGGCCGGGGCCCCACTGGAGTCCAGCAATGCCAGGGCCACCAGAAGTGGGGAATCCCCAGCCAGGAGGAGGACGAGGGGGACCGCCTGCGTGGACAGCGTGGAATGCACTGCCCTCTCCACCACCACCAGGTCTACCCCCAAATCCACCACCAGATCCACCACCAGATCCACCACCAGATCCACCACCAGATCCACCACCAGATCCACCACCAGATCCACCGCCAAATCTACCACCAAATCCACCAGTTTGTCCTTGACGGTCACTGCCTCCGATCACACTGCTCGCATCTGTAGCAGAACTCGAGAACATGCCACTGTCGGCTCTCTGGCGACCCTCCTGGCCACCACTACCCATGACACTGCCAGATCTGACAGCTCCACCGCCATAGCTACTACCAACTGGGGTCTCCTGTGCCATGGCAGTCGCAGCCCGAGCAGCATCCGAATCGGCCGGATCAGCAGCAGTGTCCGTCTCGAGATGCTTATGGAAGATCTTGGCAATGGATGGGAGCTTGTCGAGCTTGTGTCTGTAGTTGGAAATCTCACGCTCGTACCACTTGATGTCGTGATGCAGGTGGGATTTGACGAGGGCCTCGGCCATGTTTTCGATCTGCTCGTCCGTAAGATTGGCATTGCGGGGGATGATCTTGAGGATGGCGGCCTTGCTGTAGCGGTCGATACGTGGGAGGGGGAAGCGGCGCTCTCCTAAACACCCTGTCAGTCTCCATCCTCTCCAGATCGAACGCAAGTTAAACAAACGCGTAGAAAGAGAAAAGGTAACCCAAAAAAGAGATCCCAGAACATACCAGTCAGCTTGAATCTCGTCTCGCCCTCTGCCTTCAACTCTGCCGTGTCTGGCCAGTACGCACGAATCTCCTTCTTGCCCCACGGTCTCTTGCCCTCCGCACAGTTGGTCTCCTCCGCACCACCCCAGATGTTTGTGCGCTCTCCCAAAACCTTGCTGTACGACGAATACCCACCATGCTCCTCCTCCAGCTCCATACAGTTCGTAACCTCCTTGCCAGCATTCAAGCCGCCGAAGCTAAACTCGGCCGTGCCGTTTCCACCATCAATATCTCCCGCGTCGTCCATCTTCAGTCCCCGCACCTTGAGATCTGCCTCCAGGGTCTTGGGCCGATCATCCTTCTTCTTGAGCTCCAGCTCCGCCGCCTTGCGGTCGCTCTTGCCCTGCTGCTCGAGTAGCTTGTCGTTGGCGAACGCAGCGTTGTGCTCGGCGAACTCCTTGGCGCTCTTGGGGAAGAAAGGTGAGTCCGCGAAGCCCAAGTTCGTCGCGGTGGTCTGGAGGCGTGCGAACTTGGCGGCATTGGTCGTGGTCGCGGAGACCCAGGACTGCGCGGTGCCCGAGTTATTTTGACCCGAGGCTGCCATAGCTGCTCGAACCGTTGCTTGTGCGCGGGGTGTTTGCTTTGCGCGTGGGGCTGCTTGACCTTGACCTTGAGCCTTCCGCTCGATTCTGCGTTTACCCTTCGCCTTTGGGGTTGGGGATGGGGTTGGGGTCTTTGACTCAAGTTTACGACCGCGCTTCTCGGGACGCTTGACTGTGCTCTGTAGGTCCTCTTCAATGAGGTCCTCTTGGTTGATTACTTTTGGCTGGTTCTTCAACGTGGGGGGCTGCTCTCGTGACTCTCGCTTTTCGGGAGAAGATGTCTTTGCGGAAGTGAAGGAGGAGGAGGAACGAGTTGACTCCGCGGTGAAGTACTCGGAACCGTTAGCGCCGGGGATGGAGTCACCTGATTCGCTAGCCGGAGCCGGAGCGATGTTGTTGCGTGCGGGATCCATCGTGGCTGTCACGGTTGCGGATGTGTGGAGTTTGGATGTGTTGTGTTGGAGAAGAAGAAGAATGGAGGTGGGAGCTGGGAGCTGGGGATATCTTCAGCCTCCTGGCTAGCGCTACGCCGAGACAACGCTAGATGGGCTGATTAGTCGTTCAGGCACGTGTGTTTGCTGCGGAAGCTTTCGAGTCCTGTCCCTAGCTGTCGTGGAGTGGTTATCGAAAGTAGCCGCTGGGTGGATAGGACCCTCAGCATCTCTATCAGATGGCATCCTGTGGTTTCCGAGACGCTGGATACCGGGTGAAAGGGATGCAGAATTGGGTTTGTTTACTTTTTTACTTTTCCTCGGTTAGCTCACCTCCTCCCCACTCCCTCCCCCCCCTCCTGGTTTCATTATATTATTATCCGCCCATCTACCTCCAGCTAGCCAAATAGGAACAATAAGCCCTATCTACTCTCCTTTTCCTTTTAAAATAAAATTCTTACATATTCCAAATCCCTTCCATTCTATCCTCTTCTCTTCTATTCGTTCCATCATCTCTATCCAAATTTTCAAAGCTACATCCATACCTACATCCATTCTTCCCTCTCCCTCTCATTCCATCCCATATCATGCCACATCATATTCTTCAAAGCCTGCCAAAACGCTCAAGACTCCACCTTTCACCTTTTCACTTTTCACTTTCCACAACAGCAGCTGTCTGTTCACTTACCTCAATGCCTCTTTGGCTGTTACTCCTGGTGCATCGGGGAGTAGGTATATCAGAAATTCAAGTTTTAGGAATTGTACGTGAAGCAGTCACTCACCACAAGAAAGGGTGATGAACAGATAAACAATCAAACAACATTAAACAAACCTCTCTATTCCATCTCCTTTCTCGCTCTCTTGCTTTTCCATCTCTGCAACCCCCCCCCCCACCCCCCCCTTCCTTCTCCAGCTTACCATACAGGTAAGGTATAAAAGCATGTGGTACTCCTCCCCCTTCTGTATCAGAACCCACCACCGGTCTCATCCCGTTCAGAATTCTAGGCTAGACGGACGAGATCCCCGCTGCGTATCATGACTGTTGGTTGTTGTCTGGTGGATGTGGATGTGGATCCGTTCCGATTGATCTGACGCTCATGCTGAAACTCATGCTGAAACTCCGATGCGGATACGGAAATGGAAAGACTTTTCGCTCTTGACCTACCGCCTTTTACTCTATTCTACTCTACTCTGCTCTGCTCTGCTCTGCTTTGATTTCGATTTCGATTTCGATTGCGATTGCGATTTCAACTCGGCAGTCTTGCACGCTAGGAATGCGCTGGATATATTTACGTATACATGTACATGTAGATGTACATGTATATCTACTCCCTCTCCCCTCTCTCCCCTCCCCCCCCCCCTCTCCCCTTTCTCTCCGCTCTGCAACCTACAACCTACAACCTATCAACATGAGAGAAAGAAACTCCACTTCACGCTCCACACTCCAAAGTCCAAACCCCAAAGTCACCCCGAAAAGGAACAAAAGAATAAAGGCTTTTTGTTTGTTTGTCTATTAGTGGGACTTAAGAGTGTACAGGAAGACAGCTCGCTGACAAGCTAATCAGCTAGTGAGCTAATAATTAATAACCGCGTCCTTGATTCAAAGACCAGCTAGCGAGCTAGCTGGCTAGCGGTAGAGCTCCATCCAGGCTATCCCCACCCAAAAACACCCCCTGAGCACCACCAAGCACCCCCGAAAACGCCCCGGGCACGAGCCAAAGTCGTCGAGTCAGATCCGAACGAAGTAAGAGAAGAAGAAGAAGAAGAAGAAGAAGAAAGAAGAGCCAGAAA